ACCTTTTTAGTATTTATTTTTTATTTATAAAATTTAAATTTAAAATTTTAATTTTAAAATAATTAAATTTCTTTTATTCAAACCAATAAGTAAACGTAAAACTGCTATTTAGTGAATAACAGGAAAAACCACGTTAGCCCTTCGACCTTTGGTCCTTAGCCAACTGGGAACTTAGGCCTTGGCGTATTGAATTGGGCCGATTGTTTTGTTGGACAAAGTCCATATGCTAAAAACGCAGACTTGGCCTGCTTACCTGGGCAACTTAAAGATCTAAAATCCAGGCTTGACTGTGGATTACATGATTCAGACTTTCAGATAGTGCTAGTGTTGATGAGTAGCTTGAGCCCAATTGACTACAAGAATCAATTGTCAAATAGAAAAATAAAAACATTTTAAAATTAAAAAAAAAAGGCAATCAAAGATTGAAATTTAGTAAAAAATAGTATATAATTTAAATTTTATAACTCAAACAATTAAATAAAATATGAGTTTTTTTATATTGAGAGTTATCCTTTATATTTAATGGTTTCTGATTTTTTGTTCATAAATCGGTGTAATTTTGAATAAGGGCAAATTTAGGGGAAAGGAAAAGGGAATGGGCCAACGCATGACCTAAGAAAAATATTTATAATACGTGAGTTAAATATAAATATTTAAGTAGTCACTGAAATTTAAACTTTTAATCAATTTAACTCAAATATTAAAACTTGTAAATGAATTATCAGATACACTAACCAAAAAAACGAAATATACGGAAGTATTTTCTTTTTTTTGGGGGTGAGGGGGAGGGGTTAGGAAAATTAGAACTTTCTCCTTTATTTAAGTTAACATGACACTTAGAATGATAATGACCATACTTATGACACCAGAAGCATTCAACATTTGCCTTATCTGTTAACTTGGATTTGTTATCTACAACTTGATAATTTCTATTCTATCACCTCTTTTGATTTCCAATGGCTGAACTTCCCTTCGGTCTACCATATCTCGCTTTGCCTTTCCAATTTCCTTTTCTTCAACCTATAGCCCTTGAATTAACTGTGGTCTACAAGGCTTATGTCTGTGAGGTTTGCACTGCTTGCTCCTGTTTGTCTTGGTGGTTTATCTTTTGCTCATGAACTAACAACAAATTTTTCAACTCATCAAGGGAAAGTGCCTAAATGTCATTCAACTCCTTAATTGAACCAACAACATAATTGAATTTTGTTGTCATAGACCAAAGAATTTTCTCAACTATGGCAACATCTTCCAGTTGTTCACCATGGATCCTCATCTTGTTTGAGATTGCCATCATCATTGAAAAATAGTCATCTATAGAATCACCAATCTACATCTGCAGACCTTCAAATTTTGCCCACAAAGCCTAGTGTTGTTGCCACTTTGCTCTTTCATTCCCCTAATACTTCTTCTTCATGGAATCCCAAATAGTCTTGGAAGTAGACTTGTTAAGGATTGTTTCCAAGATAACCCAATCTATGGCTTGGAACAAATTGTTAACCTAGGAATCTTTCAACTTGTTCTTCTCAATTTCTGCCCTTTGTGCATCATTTGTACTGATTGCTAGTTTAGGAACTCCAGTTTCAACAACTGTCCAATACTCTTTGGACCTGAGGAAATCCTCCATCAATAGGTTCCAATGGTCATAGTGATAACCATCAAAACAAGGGATTGAGGGCTGGACATAATTTTCAGAAGCCATGGAATTTGATGGAAATAGGCTTTGATACCAAATGTTAAGAAACCAAGGATTCAAGATAAGAAGAAAATGGAATGAAAAGCAAACTCACATTAAAATGATACCAAATTAGCCTTTAAATAGGCTTTACAAGATAACTTTATCTAAAAAATAACTAACCAATGATCCCAACTTATTTAAATGATATCAACCTAATCTAATATATTTTAAATGATAACAACCAAAATAATAAGAAAAACAAGTAAACAACTTTAGCTTCCTAAATTATAGAGATAATGGTTAAAAATTAGAAACCACTTTCCAATAATAGCCGGAACAAGATGAAGATGACAGTGGTTCAATTCAATTTTTAGAGTCTTTCTCCAGCCGAGGTAATTAATACTAGCTGCCACTATTTTTCACTAAGATATATCAGTGATGCTTCTAATTATACATCCTATATTCCCACGTAATGTATGGTTTTATTTTCCCACTCATTTCTGTGCCTAGAAGGAAAATCAATGGGCATCTTATTCTCCACCTATAATTGCCAAACGCTAATGCAATTTCAGCTTCTAAACGTTAATTATTTCTCCTCTACATACTATATTTTAAATGTTGTTATCTAATCACTTGAATTTTCGAGTAAAGCAGTTCTTGACATGGTACTGTGACCTTTGACTTGTGTGACTTATGTACTTCACTCTCCACATTGAATTAGTGGACATGTTAGAAATCAAACTCACGTTATAGGTTAATTTTGTACTTTTTCTTAATCTAGATCGTGGAATGCATTTTGACAATGCTGAATGACCAGAAGAACAATGATGAGGAAAGAAAGTTAAGTGGAAGAGCAGCTTCAGTTCTGCACCCTCGTGCAGTTATGTCTAGTCTTGGTAATTGAATTTCACTTGTTTTACCTGTTTCCTCTTAATTAACGATGATTGTTTGTAAAATTGAGATGAATCTTCCACCTTGATAAGATATGAACCATATTGATAAAAAGCATAGGCTTTGTTGAGTAAAGGATTGACATAGTAGTTCTAAAGGAAGGCACTTCTTCTAGCAGTGAGGAATATATATTGAGTCCTTGATAATGGATGCAGATTTGTTACTTCTAACTAACTTTGGTCACTTTTTCTGGTACTCCTTGTAATACTCCAATTGCTATAACAATGAAATAGCATGCTGCAAAATACTAAAATTGTTTGACAAAAAGGCAAAGAAGTGTCAGATAAATATATGCATAAGGTCGAATTCTATTTCTCACATTTACGATGGTAGCTATGTGATCATAACCAGATGCAGCTGAAGCAAAATTGATCCCAACTAGAAGATTCTACCTTGATGCTTCCAAGCTTAGATTGTTAGAAATTTTTAGGTGAACTGCCGCTAATTGTATTTGATTTTTAAAATTGGGTCAAATGGAAAATCGATAAAGCCTAATAAAGTTATGTGATCCAAGTGGATTTAGATTTTATCTCAGTTTTATATGGTGTGACATGAATAGATGCATTGGCCTAAACTTAAAGATGGGCTACTTGATAGGAGTGCCCAAAATATTATTATAATGGGTTAGGTCCCATCTTCAATTCAGAAAATCCTACTTTTATAAAGAGTAGAGTTAGGAAGTGGCATAATCCATTGGTTGTTACTATATAAAAGTTGAATAGGGAGAGAAAAACCTAAATCCCAATATTAATTATATTTGTTTTATAGGTCTTGTCATGAGATCCCTAATTATGATTTTTCTTGAAGATCTTTGAAGATTATTAGATAATATATTGATTATAAAGATTTAGGTACATAATTTATTTATTTATTGATTTTGTGTATTGCATATGTTACTAATTGGGAAATGATTTTGGGACAACCTTTTTATCCTACTTTTTTGTACAACCTGACGTGTCATGTACATGACTGGTTCTTTTTATTTATGTGAATCTTGTGATATTTAATGCATCTATTCATTTAATGACATGTGAAAGTTGTATCAAAAAGTACTTTTTTGTCCTACTTTTTTGTACAACCTGACATGTCATTTACATGATTGGTTCTTTTTATTCATGTGGATCCTATGATATTTAATGCATCCATTCATTTAATGACATATGAAAATTACATTAAAAAGTAATATAAAAATGTTGTTTTTATAGCACCGCCCTTATTGATTTGAATGATTTGGTGTTTTAGAATCTAAGTTATGAGATTAATTATTTAAGTAAATTCCAACATAGATATGCTAGGGCATCAGTCTTGAATCCCAGATTTTCAGTTGCACAAGGAAATCTATCTAGTTTATTAACTTAAGGAAATAATCACTAGACAAATTAGTAGTACTACTTGTTACTTACCAGTTATATTAGTGGCTAACTTCCCATTGCAGAACCTCCCAGTAGGTTTGTAATTGATGAAGTTCCATAAGGAGGGTAATTAGCCTTGGGGAGATAATCATGGTTAGCAACATCTACTGCACAATCACCGTAGGTTATGATGGCCACAACAAGAGCACCTAAGTCTTGTGCATACCCTTTGCTTAGAAGTGCAAATGCCAAGACCAAAAACATTGCTCTTGTGTGATACCTATCCATTTTGCTCAACAGTGGTACTTTGAGCTGCTAACTTAGCCCTTATAAAAGGACTCTAGAAATGATCCAATTGTGGCTTTGTTAGGATAAGGAAGATGGAAGCTGAGAACAACCAATAAATGAGAGTAGTTCAAGTTTCTATTATGCATTCGAGTAGTACATTTTTTTAAATAAATTTCCAGCAAATGTTTAGATTTGTTTCGGTTTTATTTTCCTTTTACTCTCTCTCTCTTTTCTAATTTATAATGTAGAAGAAGTTGACAAACCCACATATATGAATTTATTTGTATCTAAATCAATGTTTTGAAAACCGATCCAGAAGTCAAACCGTTTTGACCTTTGATTTTTGGTTTGATCGGTTTAATCAGTTAAATCGTTCAAACACCAGGTCAATTGAATATAAATAAATATAATATTATATTAAAATCTAACACAACCCATGCAGTGGCTTGTCATCTTGTTTTAGGTGGAGAAGATGCAGGTTTGAGTCCTTTTGATGTTAAAAATGTAATTATTTTGTTTTAACCCATAACTTATAATATATTAATGGATTTTCTTCACATACAAAGTACATCAAATATAATTTTTTAAATTATTTTATAAAAATGTTAAAAATTGACTTT